TTTTTTTGTAGTTGCAATGGTGAAAAACATGGGAAGGTTTTTTATTGTGTTCTGTGAATCTGGTTTCCAATTTTCTTCCTGTTTCTCCGATGTAGAATTCTGGGCAGTTATTGCATGTTATTTTGTAAATGACGTTGGTTTTGTGTGATTCTAAATAATTTATGTTTAGTACAGATTTTAAACTAGGGCCGGGTTTTTTATGAGAATTTGACGTTGACAGGAATATTATGTATAATGACTAGTTTTGTCCAAGTGTGGATAATTCTTGAGCTGGTTTCAGAGGCAAAAGGTAAACTGCAGTGTAATGTTCTGTTGTTGGGTTTGTTAGTATCAATGTTGTTCGTGAGTTGAGTTTTATTGTGGGGAATGTTAGAGAGTTTTTCAACGATAGCTGGTGGAAATTTATTGGTGTGAATGAAGGAATGCTTTATGTGGTTAATTTCTTCATTTATGTAGTCCGTTGAACATAGTGTTGTAGCTGTGTTTATGAGGTTTTTAAGTGTATTGATTTTTTGTGTGGTGTCATGAGCGGAATTTCAGGGGATGTAGAGGCCAGTGTGTGTTCTTGCGGTGAATTTTGGTCTGATCTAATCATTTTGAGGTTAAGAAAAGATAATTGTTTATTGCTTTCGTGTTCTATGGTAGATTTGATGTTAGGATGAATAGAATTTATGTGTTCAAAGAAAGTTAGTGTGTGTTCTGTGTTGGTTTTAGTCGTTGTAAATTCTAAGAGAGAAGCAAAAAGTGTGCTAGGGATTTGCATTAACTTGTTGGGGTCATTAATGTAGAAGTCGAGTGCAATATTGCAAGCTTCGTTGGCGGGAACTTCGGTGAAGAGTGACACGACATCAAACTAGCCATTAAGGCTTTCGAATTTAGTTGTTCTAGCGTATATTTGAAATTGAATGCATCTTTAAAAAATGAACCTGCAGATGTTACATATGGTGTGGAGTCCAGGCTATGTATTTGCCAAGATTGTTGTTGAATGAATCATAAGTGACAGTATAGGTCGTAGTCCTGTTTGCGTGGTTTAGGAATGCCATAGAGTTGTGGTGTGCGTGAATCAGTTTTACATAGATAAAAATAAAGATAGTCAGTAATTAAATTATCCTTTTTCATTTGTAATAAAGTTCTGTTTAGTTCTTTTTCGTGTGTATTTGGGATGGCTTTGAATTTCTTTTTATCGGAAAGGATGTCGTTCATTTTGTCGATGTATTCTGAATTCATGATGACAGTGGTGTTGCCTTTATTTTTTATATCAGAAGTGGAGCCAGAGTTAAGAACAAAGAAACTGCAAAACCTTGATGGTTAAAAGTTTTGAAAACTGCTTGCTTTTAATTTCATTTCAGTTACCAGTGTAAGATATTTTCTTCCAGGTTTACTCCATCCCTTTCCCTACTAGACTCAGGCTCTATCTCATTCACAACCAGATAATAGCGGAAGGACTCAGGTGTTTACGAGATAACTGAACTCGCCACAAGTTAACTGTTACTAGGGTCTGGTAGAGGTAGTTGTGGAATGCATGTTCACTAGAGCTTTGAACAAATACTTTACTACGTCAACGTGTGGAGAAAGTTCGTTACGAACTACATCTTCTCACTATAATGGAAGTAACGTTTATGTCAGTATATGTAACCAAAACTCCAGCGCCATCTATTGAATGGCACCGCAAACAAATATCCATAAAAAAAAAGACGTGGTATGTTCAATCTTTTCTTTATAACAGAACACAATTTTAAATAAAAGTACTCTCCTCATAACAAAAACACGACTTTCACTAGAACTGTATATGAGGGTTTGATTATATCTTTAATTGTGTATTTGTTAAATGTATTACTAAGAAACTGGTGTTCTCAAAAACTTTCCAATAAGTATTACTACGAAAACATTACTGTTTAATACTACGATTAGTAATTACTAGAACAAACAGACGCTCGTAACGCGGCGTTTCTGCTAGTAAGACACAATAAGTGTGCTACATTTGTACTCAGATAAGCTATTTTTACCCAGTATTTATTCTTACATTGCTAGCTGACCTTCTGTTAGGTCGAGTTGAAATTTTCAATTATGACTTGTTAATATAACCATGAATCTTGTGATTTGCCCGACAACCTAATGCACTCGAGAGGACCGTGGTAAAAAAGGCTAACAAACTTTTCAACCTAATACGTGGTGTAACTTCGCCAAAGATGCTCCCATCATAGTCCTACGAGTAACGGATCTTTTCAACGTACAATTAGAGATCTAATTTGGTGTAAATATAAGCCACATTTGCCAACTTATTCAACAAAAACCGCTCAAATTTGAAGATTTCGTTGCACGCCTACACAAATAGTCACGTGAGCTATCGGTCTAACATTTTAACAGCTTCACCCAAGAGTAAAAGTGGACCGTTTTTACTCTTTTGTCATTCGGATTAAAGACGGCTGATTTAGATTATCAAAACTACAAGGTGAAAGGTCGTGCAGATACACAAGTATTGGTTAGGCCAAGCAAACTAGATTAGCAGTTTCTATCTTAGTTTTCCAAAGAATCATACGGCTGGACGGTTATTATTGATTATTCATTGCCAACTTTTCAGCACAAATTTACCAAATTTTATGCCATTATCCTAATTAAAGAGCGTTTAGCGTCATGCGATATTAGCTTGAGCAATTAACAAAATAACACTTGATATGGCTGTACCGATTGCATGGGAGTAATGACAAGAAACTGTTAACCTAAATTCCAATTCGTTACTATAAAAGGGGCTATTAACACCGTTTTTGGAGATGAAAACTACCACTATATATTCTATAGAATCTGGTTGATTCTGTAAAGGTCTGTTCCGAATAATAGGGTTGCGATCCAAGACTAATGTTGGTTACTATCGAGTGTCACTTTGTAATATGTATTGACAAAATAGTCACGATATCTAATCAAAAACACCTGAGGGCTAACTAATGAATGAATATTTGCAGCAAAATTCTTATCGATGCTACTACATGTGTAGCTACCGTTTGGTCACCAATTTTGATTTCATTTCTTCAAGTCGCACGCGGAATCCTTTTTTTCACAGCTAAGGTGTTTTTGATTAGATTTTACTATACCGCACTGTTGTGACCAATTTTCTGCGTTAAAAAAAATCTTTAACCCGTGTGAAAACTCCTAAATAGCAGCTAATTAGTCACAACACGAAACTAAGTAGGCCAATTTTATACTTGTTTCTTTCCTTTGCTGTTCGTGTTTTATTACTTTTACATTCTCTGAACCAATGTTGTGCAGCTACTTTTGAAATTATCTGTCGATTATCAGTTGACCTAAATACCACAAGTAAGCAGGTTATTAAAACTTGTACATTTAATATAAAGCAACAGTTACCCTACTCTGAACTAAATATTTATATTTTAATATATACGTATAAACACATTACAGAGATCGTAAACAAATGGCGCTTTTAGACTGTTCATGACTTGTACTATATATAAAAACACCAGTGTCTGCCAAATGTTTAAAAAGTCGATAAGAAATTAAGAATTTTTAATGAAATATTGTACATTTACGGGCTTGTCCTTGACCCTTTGTTTCTTTGCCTTTTGCCCTTACAATCAATAAATCGCCTGGTCAGATATTTGACCATGTAGGTATATTTCCTTCCATAACCAATATTTTTCACAAGGTCAACTGTACGGATAAAGAAGCAGATTCGTACATGTCAAAAATACACGCAAGTCCAAATTCTCAATGACCACGTGAAATACTAGAATCTTACTTAAATAATCCATCGCATTGATAACAAGACAATTAAAACAATTTTTACAACAAGAGCAAAAATGACCAAGTTTATCAAGTAATCATATGCTGGCTCATCCATTTGTTTCTTCACCAACACTGACGAGTGATAAAATAGTTCCAAATTTTTGCTATTATTCACCTTTAAGTTAAAAACATTTTCATGATATTTTAAGCTATAAAATGTTGCTAATTACGCTCTGGGATATTTTAATCTATTTTGCAAGGCCTAAAAAGCCTCATTTTTTAACTGATGCTTTCTACACCACTGAATTAAAAGTAGTGCTATCGGTATTTCTAAGAGTTTGATATTAGATTTCTTTTCACCAAAGGCAAAATTGAAAATTAACTTCTGCCTAATCTGTTCTTTCATAAAGTAACAAAAAATCCGTTTGCAAACGCTTGCATCCAAGTAATGTTTATTTTCTAAATCGACAGTAAGTTGACGTTATATAGGCCTTCCTGATGATATTTTTGTTTTTTTGCTAAATTAATATCATCTATATGTGATCTTGTACAAGTATGAAACATCACGCATACATGGGTGATGATAAAATATACACGATGTTTTTCGTGAATACTAGAAGAGGATAGGAATGTTTATATATTTCTTATTACAATGCAATTCATTTTTGGAAAATATCATTATTTAGAAAAAAATTTCGAAAGGGAAAATAAGCATTTAGCATCACATGACGGGCATTCAGGTAGTACTTGCATAAACGTGGAGATTATAGACCAAATTTAGGGTTACCTAAAAGTACTAGCTTCGAAAGTTGGGTATTATCAATGTAGCTGTAAAATAAAGTAGTCTTTCTACTACGCTATACACGAAAGTAGTGAGCACAAAGTACAAGACTGATTTAAACAATTTAAGGTTTCTTTATAGAGGGAATTCATATACTTAACTTATATTCCTGTTAACACCTCGTTACTCTTAACAGTACACAGCCTTTTATTCTTAAGTTGACATCAGTAACATTCAAATAGGCAGTCATAATATGGTTGATATTTTTTGCATACAACTACACATACACTAGCAAAGCAGTACGCACACAATAAAAATCTTACGGTTAAAATCGCTAAATTCATATAAATTCTACCGTGAATTTAAGAGTTGGTGATACTCCGAGGAAACTATTTAATGCAGTCTTTTTTTAGAAAATTCGTAACCGGTCTTAAAACAGTTCTTTAAGGCTTAAAGCTTCAATTGATTATTCAGTTTTCCAGGTACTTCTGAGGTACTGTCTAAATAATGTAAACATTTTATACTTTTTCCAAGCGACAACCAACGTACGAAATCAATCTTCGAAGAGCACACTAATTAAAATAATAACACAACTTTTCTTATTTAATAGAACATGTACAACACTGATCACCAATTTTAGTTTTCATTCAATATATAGCCTTTACTACAACACAATGGTTTCTCTGGCAGCATAATATTTAAAGGAAAGTTTAAATTTTTTACGCTGAAAAATAAAATCCACAACTAACAAAACAAAAACAAATTTATATCTTTTTTAGCATATTGAAATAGATTTGTCATGATTACCGCCTGTGTAATACAAGATGTGCAGTGAGTGCCATCTATAATCCTTTAAAGTATGCCAGGTGACTTTTTTTTTTATCAATCACAACAGTTAATTTCCTCTCATTTAATAGAAAATGCCATAAAGTGTTGCTTAACATTTTATAGTTTTAAAATGTACCCATTAAACCTTCCCCATTATTTATGTAGATTAAGACTGTTCATATTTTTGAATAAGATGTAATATTTTGCACGAAAATTAACTCATTTCTAAAGTAAAAAAAATAATGTAAGCCTCACAACTGTTAGAAATTGATGTTAAGGAAAATACGTACTCCACTAGAACACTGGAGCGTTTTCAATACAGTCACTCATGTGCATCACTAATACTATTAAAATTTTTATTAAGCACAATCTATGTACATCAGGAGAGAAGCATGCACAAAGATGAAGTTCACATGAAACTATGATGCCAAAATAAGAAAGATCCTGTAGCACAAAGAAACTTCATTATAAAAATTTATCGATATGGGTGATAGGTGGTAGCGGTGGCACCACCTCGTCCAGCTCCCCTTGTCTTTCCATAGCCACTGGCCTGTTGACCTGTAACAGAACCCATTTCTGGGGTAATTAACCTATTTAATAACAATAAAATAAGTCGTCGTACAAAATACTCAATTTCATCAATAGAAAAAAAAAATACATGCATGCATGAATATTAACTTAATTTGAAATAAGATGCAAAATAGCAAACAATGAAATGCAAGATATGCAATTTAATACATTACACAATAAATACTCCATCCCACAAACAAAATTTCATATTTGTATTAGTAGTGTTGTAGGCTACATTTTTACTATTTAAACTTAAATGTTTTTTTATTGTTTGCTAAAAAATTCCAATGTCTTAATTTCACATGACGTCTTTAAAGCCTTGGGGAAAACAGATGTTCTATAAGAAAACACCAATTAATTAGACTAAGTAAATTAATTAGTAGATTAGTTCAGCCCTTTGAGTTTTGCATTTGTGTTGGAACAAAATAGAAATCTTGCAAGTAAACGAGTTTTTTATTTGCAGGTTAGGCCCACGAAGGAATTTAGCCTATGAGGCTTGTACATTATAGAAAGATAAATCTGAAGTGAACTGAACATTATTTTTACCAAATGATCACAAAAGATACCACTACAACACTAGGTTGAAGCTAGCTTTGTACTTACCATAGTTTTGTCCATATCCCCACCCAGTGTAGTCATAACCTCCATATCCACCACTATAGTCACCACCATAGCCACTGTAGTCATAACTACCATATCCTTGATTATAACTGCCATAACCTTGATTATATCCTCCATAGCCCTGACTACCCCAGCTTGGTGCCTGATATCCTGAACCACAAAATTAGAAATTGCAATAGGACTTAAAATACAAATACATTTACATATAATTTCTTTAAACCTTGACAAATGAATTAGTAATTACAATTCAAATAATAGCCTCTTCAAAAATGGTTGCACTACATTGCCACAGTAGAACAGATAATGATAATAAAAACTCAATTTTGTGTAATGCTAAACACAATATCATTCTTATTGGATAATGTACACTTTGTTCTTCAGACAAATTTTCTTGGATATAAAATTTAAATACATGTCCAAACCGTTAAGTTCTCAACTAAAATAAACTAAATAAGACTCAAATACAGTATTCAATATTCAGAAATCAGGAAGACACAAACAAAATGTCTTAGCATTTGCAAACAAAACTTGGGTGTAAAACTTATTATGAAATTACGAGATTCAGTTGTAATGCCAAGTGAGCCCCTGATAAGTCACCATGGAAAGATATTGGACATTTTAATAAAATGAGTATTTTTGGTCGTTTTATATGTAATAAGCAAACTTCTTGTTTAACACTCATATTGCTTATCAAAGATTAGTTTCAGATGCTATGAATAATGTCTTACCTCCTCTTCCACGACCCCTTTCTGCAACAGTATTAGGGGCTCCCCAACCTCCCATAAATCCTCCACGTGTGGAGCGTGGATCTAATTTAGGTGCAGCCTTTTTCACATCACATTCCTTACTTCCTATCATCTGCTTTGGTTGTTTAGTTATCTCCTTCACAGCATCTTCAGACTCAAAAGTTATGAAAGCAAACTGTCTCCTTTGATTCTTCACCTTGTCAATTGGTAGCTCAATAGTCTCAACCTATAAAAAAAAATAAAAGAAATGATTAGGGCATGTATAATATTTTGGAAGGATGGTGTTTGCCAAACTGGCTGCCAGGTGGTCATAATGCACACACACACACACACACATATATATATATATATATATATATATATATATTTTCATTAGCAAAATGATAAATACAGCATTTGAATTTCTAATAAACAGGCACTGTAAAAACATTCCAATTTGACAATTCTGTAAAGACTTGGATTTATGAATCAGCAAGCAGACTAGGTTGTTAAAACAGTTCAGCCAGTTGGCAAAGAGGGTTTCCAGGAATGTTACACAATTCTACATCACACAGTAGACTGGTTGACATTAATTTGCAAGAAACAAAAAAAGTGTGAACTTTGTCTAAAATTTACAAAATTGAAAATCTGATCAAAGTTTTCTTGGAGATGACCCTCTCTTGCCCCCCCCCCTCCACCGAAACTGGTGCACAACCCACTAAAAAGTACAGCATAACTGCTCACAATATTCTCACTTTAATATTTGTTTTAGCAAAATATTTTAGTACCTTTAAATTGAACATACTACACTAAAAACGTAGTACCAACTAAAGAAAATATTTCACCAGAAACTATAAATACTTAAAATTATTATCTAAACAGTGATCAACTTTCAAATGTAGCATTATATAACTCCTTCAAACTTGCAAACAGAAAAAAAATACCATAAAGTGATTAACAAGTTGAAGCTTAGCTTCTCTTCTTTTAACACTTTCAATATGGGCTCGTTCAATTTAAACGACTATGTGACCTTTTTTGTACTCATTTAGTCTATAGATTTAATACTTAACTCTCAATATAATGGGTATATCTTCACAAAATTTGACAGTCTCTCAGTTAATATTACAAGTTTTTCACATACAAAAACTATTTCTTAGTAACGTATTTCTGATAAAACAAAATAAAGATTTGTCCATAAATATATTGAGTATTTGTTTTGAATGTCGTGTGCAAAGTAATCTATGTTAAAATTAAAAATATTTTTCCTTATCTAAAAAAAAAACTCAAATTTCCTTTATGTAACCCCTAAAACCTCCAAAATGCATTTTAAACATTTGTTCAGTAAAACTTTATAGTTGATTATTTTTTTCTACCCTATCTCAAAACAGGATCAGTCAAATCAACTAACATTGTAACCACAAACTCACACACACAAACAAAAATAATTTTCTAGAATGACTTCAAATTGTAACATGAAACTTCATTTGTTTATCCCAAGTAGCTAAGTCCATAACAATATATATTTATAATTAAATTTTGTTATATTACTATTTGAATCATGTCTACTATCTGCCCCATAAGTTTTAAATCACTCAAGGAAAGTGCATCTCATGTTATGCTGTCAAATTACATTACCCACGAGCTACTTGTATGGGTGCCTCATGAACAATTTTAATTATTATTATTATTACTTATTTTACCTAATCTAGTCTTAAATAACTTAAAAAGATCCATATTTTTAGATTTTAGTTACTTTTACAAAAATAAAACATAAATATGAAAAGCAAGAAATAAAATACTTAAGTAATCTTTTTTCCTGCTGTTAGGTTTCGAAGAGAGTTTACCCTAATTATTTTTATTTAATTAAATACACAAATTCACTTACCTCTCAAAATTTTCCTGGCTTTCTAACTATGCAACAAGAGCCATTACAAATTCATCCAAGCTAGTCATTAACTTTGCCATGAGAACGAATCTTATACTGTGAGTGAAATTGATGATATTCTGTTCAGAATTCAACATTATACAATTTGTCATTTGATACATGAAAACCTTCACTTTCTATTGGTTATAGGTAATATATAATGAAACATAAGAGAACTATCAACGAATTGTGAAAGAGGATGTGACAGGAGGGGGATAGCTCTGTAACCAAACAAAATTGAAGACTAAAAATTATGGTTTGTCTGAGCAATAACGATTTTAGAGTAATTTGTTTAATTTCATACATTTGAGGGTTGATAGATAAAATAAGGATGATGACATGCTAAGACAAAATGTGTCACGTGGGTCACAATAGTGGAAATTCAGGATTCTTTTTTTATACCAATTAGTATAGCATAAAATCTTAGTTAATAATCCATATTTTAATAGCATACAAGTTTCAAGTTCTTAATTCTGTAAGGCAATATTTAAAAAAAGATCCTGAATTTCCCCTAGTGTGACACGCGTGACATTTTCACTAGGTATGTTCTCTATTTTATTCATCACCTCTCCAAAAAGTACAAAATTCAACATAAATTATTCACTATCAAATAGTCTTTGTTCAGACAAAAGATAATTTTCATAGCTTTCAATTTTCATTTGTTACAGAGCTATCAAACAGAAAAATCATACCCCTCCTACCAAATCCTCTTTCAAGATTTGTTAATAGTTCTCTATTAAGTTTAAATATATTACCTATAACAAATAGAAAGTAAAGGTTTTCATCTATCAAGTGATGTATTGTATAACATTGTATTCTGAAAAGATAAGCATCAGGTTTACTTAGAATACAGTTCATTCCTGTGGGAAAGTTAACTACTAGTTTGGATGAACTTGTAATGGCTCCTGTTGCATATTTAGAAAGCCAGAAAAATTGTCTACATTTTGCATGTTATTAGTTTGTTCTTTGGTGCATTGCTACCATTAGTATAAAAAAGTAGGGTTAAGTGTCATTCAACAATCAACAGCAAGAAGATTGGGTAAGTACTTTATTTCTTGATTTTCATGTTTATTCTTTATTTTGTTATAAAAATAAAAAATTTAAGAATAGGAATCTATTTAGGTTGGTTAATTTAGATTAGGTAAAATAAACAAAAATAATATAATAAAATTATTTCATGAGGCACACACATGAGCAGCTCTGGGTAATGTAATTCGATAGAGTAATGTGAGCTACACATTCAAATGATTTACAACTTATAATTGCACAAATAGTAGTTACAGTTCAAACAAAAAATAATAATAATTATAAATAGATGTATACTGTTACAAGTTTAAATCTACTTAGGATAAACAAATGTAGTGAAACTACATTTGAAGTCATTCTAGAAAGAAAAGGTAATTTAGATTTATTTCAATATTTTTTTTTTTTTGGTTACAAGGTCAGTCAAATTGACCAACCTTGTATATAGTTATTGTAGAGAAAATTACAGATAAAATAGTTTTATTGAAAACAAACATTTGAAATGTATTTAAGAGGTTTTAGAGATTACACAAATGAAATTTGATATTTTTGAGATGAAAAGTACATTTAATCTTAATATGAAAATCTCTTGGAACAGACTATTCAAAACAAATACTTTATATATTCAAGGACAAATTTATTTTTAGATTATTAAAAATACTTCACTAAAAAATATGATTTTTTTGTTGTATGTGAAAGACTTGTGTTTACTAAAAGACTGCCAAATTTCGTGCAGCTATGCACACTATATTAAAAGTTAGTATCAAATCTATAAGGACTTTGAACATGTACAAATAGGTCATATGGTGAGTCAAATTGACCGAACCTGTGTTGAGAGTTAATCGTAACCTCGTACTTATTTCCATCTAACTCCTTCCAAAGTTGTGGAACTAACAGAAATACACTATCTAGACATGATGATAACACTACGTTTTCACAATAACTAAACCCAAATCAGGGATCAGATAGTGTGTCTGGCATCCAAGGTACCCAAGGGATGCCATGTTTAACATTGTATTCATACCCCACTCAAAAGCTAGCGAGACTGAACTTGGCACACAAGTATGTGCCCTAACAATGTGTTTTGGGCACAAAACCTAGTTCTTAAAGAAATAAAATTACAAATTTTAATACCTTGCCATACTGCTCAAAATAAGCTCTGATATCACTCTCTGGCATATCAGGATCAAGCCCTCCAACGAAGATTTTCTTCAATCCAGGCTTGGCCTTGGCTCTCTTTGGGTCAATCTGCTTCCCCTTTACACTGTGTGTTGTATCTTTTAATACCTATTTGACAGATACACAAGACTTAATACAACTAAAGGTCATTCCTTATAGCAATTGTGTGCACTTAAAAATCTGATACTAAAAAAACAATCACTTTCAATATAACTATCTACTTTTCACATGCAAGTAACAGCTATTCAAATTTGTAGGGATTATATTTAAATTCCAAAGGCAGTTTTTATCTGCTTAATGTTTGGACAATACACAGACTTAATCCAATCAAGCTTTGTTTGTTTAAATAACACCCTGAAAGCTGAAATCCACACATGTAATACAACTTGATCAATATTTACATTTTGTTTCCACTAACTCCAATGGATTGGTTTCATTTAATGGACACACTTTGGAACAGAACTATCCAGTTACAACAATGAACTTTATCTATAATCTAGATCCTTGGATTATACTTAAGTGTTAACCAGACCAGCTTTTTACATAACCACTGCTGTTTAGAACAATATTCCAGTAGCAAAGTTCAATCCCTTACTAGCCACTGATACCAGTCTAAGGAATTCCCCATTGTTTCTCCGATCCAATTTAAGAAGATTGGATTGGCAAGTTTGAAATTTACCTATGAAAATACACACTACATTCAGGCACCTTCATGATGGAGGGAGTGCAATGTATTCAAAAATGAGGATTTGTTTAAAGGCTTAGAAGAAAATTGTTTTGTATTCCAATGAAAATGTGTCCTTTTTTGTAGCCTGATAAATATGTGATTTATTTGAATACTAGTTTTGAAGTTTGATACACACACACACACACACATTAGGGACATCCAGATATGTAGAACACAAATGCATATTGTCAAAATAAAATCCCAATAACCAGCCTAGCTTTGGCACATCTACACCAATCCAATATTTCACTCAGTTCATAGGCTTAGTTTGTTCCACATGATAGTATCATTTGTTGAAAAGAAGCCACATGTGTAACATGATGAGTAATTCATATGCATTGTAATTGTAGAACATATATTAAGATGGTCCATAAATACTCAAGTTCAATTCTTATACTTACAGCATCTACAGATTCCTGCGAGGCAAAAGTGACAAAGGCAAACCCCCTGGATTTCCCAGTGTTAGGATCAGTTTTGATATTCACATCGGTTACTTCACCATACTTTGAAAAATAATCCTTTAAATCACCTGAAAAAAGTAACAGAATACCATTAATATAAATCAACAAGTATATTTGCCTTATAGTCTGCTATAATGCACTTACAAAGTAACCAATAGATGACAAATGTGTGACTGTTGTAACTTTAAATATGTCTGTTTTACAAAAGTTTTTGGTGAAAGTGAAAAAGGCAAAATACAGACAAAACAAGAATTACTTAATATAGATGCATTACTATTGTAGTAATTCTTCTAACAAGCCAAGTTGTAAACTTTCTCAACTGCTTTAGTTTAACCGTCTAATGACTGGTCAGCAATACTGACTGACTATATAGGTTTTATGTAAACATTACAAGTCTGTTGTACACACACACATAAAAATCAGAATTTTTAATGAAATAATAAAAACATGTTTTAGAATTTCTAAATCCTTTGACTCAATAATCTGAATGCAAGGCAGTTTGATGATAAAAATATTTTCTTAATTTTCATATTTTATTTGCATATCTGTATATCTTAAACCTCCTAGAAAAATACCAAGTATTATATTAAAAGTTTGTTTTATCTGTTATTTTTTACCCTAACACCAACTACAGCTAAATCAATATACAGTGATACAAAATTGTGAAAAAATAAAAAAAATTATAGTAGTTTCTTCATCTTTGAAAAATTATTTTTTTGCTTTATCTATAATTTTAACTGTAGACTAAAACAGTTAAATTTTAGTTGTACTGCATGATTTGTACAATGTACAGTTGATTATTCCTTGAAGAGCAACACCATAGTGGGAACATTAGCAGATTCCCACATATACAAATGCATGAAGCAGCTTTGTACACTACACTGGTAAGTTACCTAAATGTACTTTTTCACTCTTAAGTTCATTGTTGTAACAAAAACACATACTTTGCAAATTTAATTTTAAATCATAATACACATTTCTAAAATAGAATATTAAAAACAATAATTTAACTAGTTTTCTAAGTTATAAATAGATAATTTTTTCTTTTAAAGCTACAGGTTCTGTTTTGTTCAATGTTTATTTGGTACAAACAAGATTCCTTATTTCATGCAAATAAATCAATTTGTATAAAACCAGCTAGCTTAGTTGAAAAGTCTAATGTCCTTCCTTAACATTATAAAACATTACCTAATAATGGCTGAAGTACCAATACATTTCTACACTTAAGCTGCAGATAACCACTTAAGTTTTAATATCACAATACTTAACATTTAGTTAATTTTAAGGAACATTACAATTACAACTTGTTTTACTATAAAATTTTAAGCTACACTATCATATGGAAACCTATAAAACACTGAAATAATTAAGTTTTATTCTGAATTTTGTAGGCATGATTTGTAATGAGATGAAAGCCAGTTTAAAGTAATGGCATTTCCCCAAGCACAGGTAAGGAGAGATATCCACTAAAAACATTGAGAATTAAAAACACTTACTTGTCTGGGTATCCCAACTAACTCCTCCAACAAAAAGTTTCCTACATAAAGAATGAAAAATAATTAGTAGGTTTATAATGCTGGGCACAAAAATCAACCATCCTTAAGTACTTTACCTGATAACTCATTCAAGCAGACCACATTCAGTTCTTTAAACTTACTCAGGAAATCATGCTAGGAAAAAATTAATATTAGTACTAGTAAACAAAACAAATTTGAAAAGACATACATAATTGTGGAACCTAGAAAGTGAACCACACAGTAAAATGTTTACAGAAGAATTTACTGTACTGGTTGGGGGGAAAAATAAAAATCTGTATCATGGCAATCTAAGTCCAAGTCAATGGCTTGAACCTTCAGATATCCCTGTGAAAAAGCAATTAATTCTAAAGGTGGGAATCATCTTAAAAGAGCTTTAAATTAATTGATACTTCTCTAAAATTAAAAACCTAGACTTCTACAGGTTGAGCAGGCGCAAGTAAAAGCTACACTTATGCACAAGATTTTTGTACTGAATGAATCTAGCTGTAATTGCACTATATCTCACTTGGAAATTACATGCTGATATAAAAATCTTAATATCTGCGATACTTTAGTGCTTTACTTAAAGTAAGCAGCACTCAGTTACCCAGCTGATGTCAAGAGTGGTCCTTCCTTCACCAGTTGCTAGGGCAAGATCGGAGTGATCTTGAGGCTCCAGGATGGAATTCAAACCTCAGCAACTTGTTCTGTAACCTCACAATTGCCAATGTTGATGTCTTTTTCGTGAAGGAGTCTTCTTTCATCACATCTTGAACAATCTTATTCATTCTCACATGCTTATATAAAATTGTGTGTAAAGTGTGTAAACTAGAATTAGGAAATGATGACTACAAAACTTTTACCAAGTAAAGATCTTTATCACTTCTGAATTTCAGAAAAAAATCTCTATAAGTTGCTTAAGTTTTCTTTTAAAGTGTGGCACTGACAGTTTTGCTTACATCTTATTTTACCAGTTCATGTTAAAAGTACAATTTATTCCACCTGAAATATGTTGCAAACATTTTAAATAAATGCAGTTGAAAATGATAACTGGAGCAATACTCTGCCGCCCGTAATAACTGCTGTGAAAAAGAAAAAAGCACCATTAGAAGAGATGTGAGCTTTCCTACCCTGGTGATTGAGTTAATCTGGTTAATCAATGATAACAGTGAAAATTGTATAATTAGCATGAGCACTATTAATCTGAACTCCATAATTTAATTATAAATTAAATACTATTCAAACTATTAAAAATTGTTAATCAGAATCAATTCTTTACAGCTGCTAATATCTGATAACACTGAGATAGCAAACATTTGTGTGTTTTGTCTCAACTTTTTAAACAGAGATAAAAACCTTCAATTGGAAAGTATAGAAAGTTAAGTCTTTGAAACATTAAAATCATGCTTAAATTAACTTCACTGCAAATGCATCTGAAAGGCAATTTAATATTTTCAATGTAATTTCAATTAAAAACTTTACAGAAATTCATTAACAGATGCTATTATTCGTTAGCTTTGGCTTAGCCATTAAAAAAAAAACAAATCAAGCCTTTCAGCTCCACAAAAACAGGCATTTAAAAACCTTAACACATGCTAAAGTCTACACAGAACCCCCAACCACTTTTAAACACTCTGCAATTAATACTGGTTATTAATATTTCAAACAGTCTATTTCAAAGAAAAAAACTTTCCACTAAACTTGAGATGAAAGAGAATTTTGCCAACAGGATATTTTCAACAAGTTGTCATTTCTAATTCAGTTTTGTATAACTGAAGCTAAACCCACATCTGTTCCACAAAAGTTAATTCATTGTATCCACAGCACATACAAAAAAAAATACAAGACCAATGGTTTTAAAAGAAAAAAATGGACTAGTTTTAACTTCAGAAAACACAAGTAAACAATACACCTGAAAACAAGCCCACTAGTAAAGGAGCAAATACAATCAATTCTCTATCAAAAATTCTGTGTTAATTGTGTATAAAACTTGAAAACACAAAGACAGCTTATGGTGATTATGTGGGTTGCTTAAGTATTCAGTAAATATGAGTAACACCAGGAGACAACAGCAGCAAAAGCCTACCATGATTCTTGCATATACATCTGTCCTGAATGTACTCAATGTTTACGAATACCTTGTTTATGAAGATCAATAAAGTGCAATATAACAGAACACTAACTAAGTTTTCTTTTGGTCCAACTACTTTTAAAATTTAATATCTTGTAAAAAGCAACAATTAGCCTTGTTATAAGAAAAATAACTAGCTTATAGCTATCCCACAAAGTTAACTTTATTTTGGTAGTGCAGTATTAAAGCTATAACATGACATGTTGAAGAGTTAATTCTGGAAAACAATACAAGAATACAAAAACAAATGCTAGCAAATCACCTCATCTCTCCAGCTACTTCAATTTTCTATATGCCCTTTCTACCATTTTACTTTTATACTCAAAGGAACTCTTCACTAACTGCAATCTTTCTAACTAAGAAAGTTCCAAAATATTTTTGAAGACATTTCTAATGCTTTCAAATAAGCAAGAAGGAAAGTATTATGTACATTGCATGACCTCTTATCTCAATCATACAGTTAGTAAAAGAAGTAACAAAACTGCAAAAAGGTCCTTTAAACATCACCATCGAAGTTCCAACTTCACCTTTTATTTAAGAATGATCTCAAATCAAACAAATTACTGCTAATAATTGTATTCACTTGTTCAGAATGCCCAGCAAACTGGTCAGGTGTAAAACCTTCAGAAAAATCTAAGTGAAATTCTGGCTAGAAATGAAAGGTCAATGAAAAATTAGATAACAAAAAGCCAAAATTGTTTCATGGTATGAAATCAGAATGACTAATTGGTACATGCAAAATACCAGATTATGGCACTCCTCAATTTGTAAAATTCAGGGAAAGTATTGCATACGTGTGTGAGCACAAAAAATCCTACTAAGACTATACAAGTCTACAAACCACGACCAGCATACAAAATGCAAGTTAAAATGAAAATAAAGAAAAATGCAGTGAAGTTATAAAATGGTTTAATATTATTTTGAATGAATTTAGATTGCTGATTCAAACTGAAAAAGATCTTAGATTCTGAAGAAAAAACATCTTATGAAATAAAGATCAAAATCATTTCATGCTTCAAATTGCATGTGTATGTATGTACATAAACTTAATTAAAATAATTACTCCCTAAACAATCATTTTCTTTATTAAATGGTGTTTTCACATTATAAACGTCTGATAGAAAAATATGAAATCTATTTTCAAAGCTTCTCTCTGTTAGCACCTAGGAGAAATGGCCTCTCCTCATTTTGGAAGTGTGGAAACTCCTGTAGTATGTTAGTGTATTTAATGTCTATTCTCTTTTCATACACATGCATACAGTTATTGATTAAAGTAAAAAAATCACAAATAAAAAATTAGTGACTGTTTACACAGGCATTAAAAGTCAAGGTGAACATATTCATATAAATTTTTTGATAACCATAAAATCATTTTGAAGCAAGATATTAGATTTTCCATACATCATATTACAGTTTGAATACCACACTACCCAAAACTAGTAAAAACATTTGTTGTAGCTCTAAGCTAGTTAAAATCTAAATTAATGGTATATTTAAGGGGAGAAAGTAATGGAACATGAATTTTAAATATTTAGAAATAATGTTTTCAAATATGACGACTACATACTTGGCAAAATTGGCTGGAAAGGCATGTAATCTGTTGCAAGCATTTAAACCAATTTTGGGACTATAGTGATTACTTAATTTTGGAATTAGATTATGTTTTGCAGAAATTTGACTGTTACTAAGAATGCTATAAACTGCTATATTGGAAGAGTATGATAATGACCATTAAATGTTATTTAGAAAACTAGATATATTGAATAATATTTGAAAATTTACTAATTTCCTCAAATTGAAAGCCTAAAATGAGCAAAAGATATGGCTATCTAAACAAACAATAATGTATTTTTTGTTTGACTTTTTTTTAATTCATTCATGAGAATTTACACAAGATTAAAAGGTGTTTAGGAACAAATCTGACATTTCTCACAATATAAAATCCTATTTAGAACCAGGGAAATATGTATTAACAGTTTGAAGTATTAAAAAAATACATCAGCAACTGAAAGAATATAGTCACTATTATAAAGTAGTAACTGACATACTGAAAAGAATGTCTTGTTAATACCATGCTCTTTATCTATAATAAAAGATCAATTCTGTTACCTACCAAACATGTAAATCCAAAGTATTGAGTTCATGCATATTAAAGTTAATTGGTTGATAAGTAAATTGGATAACTTAGCAGCATTTATTCTAAACTGGCTGACTGTCCATTATGTGATGGTAAAGGTTGATTAATTTTTCATCTGAAAATTAAATATTTTATGACCATGTTTTCTAAAAATTAATTATCACAATATACGTACATAAAATATTTATCCTTTTAGTATTTCACAAAAACATTGTACATACTTGGTCATCTCATGCAAGTGGTCTTCAATTAGAAATTTGTAAATGGTTTATTCCCATTTTGTCTACTCTAATGTAATCATATACCAAAATGTTTTATATTTTTTCTGTAAACTTGGTATGTCACTTTATTGTAAATGAAAAAACTTTAAAGCAGTATTATAATTTCTTGAGAACAAGCTAGGTTTTTTTCTAATAATATATTTGTTGTGTATATGTGCATATACATAACTAGTGATGTGTGAATGTTTTAAAACTATTGTAGCGTATTGTAAACAGCACAAATACAAAAATACTGTTAATAAAATTGCCAAAGCGTAGGTTTATTCCCATTTTGTCTACTTGCCAATGGGAGTAGACAAACTGGGATGTAACTTTGTGTCTTGATAAATCGAAGATGGATTGAACAATGCAAAAGAACTGGTTCAAGATATTTCCACTTGGTCACATGTCTGGCCTTGGAATTTACTAATTATGATGGCAAAGGCAATGAACTTTATGGTGAGGGACAAATGCGTGAATGTACAACTTTTC